ACACAACACAAAAAAAAAAAAAGAAGAAAAAAAACAAACACTTAATTAATATGATATCTAATACACACACACATTCTCCGGCGGCACGAAGCTGTTGAGGCTGACGAGGCTGGGCACATGCCGAATAGCCTCCATGCTATTGGGCCCTTTCGGCTGCTTCAAATCGACCCCCTCGACAACTTTCCTCCTTGCCGAATAACGAAGCATGAAAAAATCTCCCCACACGAACAACAAACTCCCGTCCTCCAACTCATCGATCACGTGAACTATCTGAAAAGACGGGCCCACGAGGCCCGGCATCGTTTTCCCGATCACGATCTTCTTCTCCCACGACTTCCCCACTCCATAATCCCCCATAATCCAAACATCGATATCCCAATCACCTGTGTTGTCGCAAAGAGCCAAACAGCCCCTTAACACTCCCAAGCTCCCCCAAATCCCCTGCCCCCCGCCGCCAGGAAACGGGCTCGGAAAATGTTGTGTAAATCGCTCGTTTTCGAGGTCGAAGCACGAGATCAGCTCGAAGCCCTCGAGATCGTGGACGAGCCAATGAACATTCCCGTTTAAAAAAACCCCAACGAGCCGGCTGTTGTAGACGAATCGGGCCGGAGGCCCGATAACGGTTTTCCAGGCCCGATCGCGAAAATTGAAGACTTGGCAGCTGGAAAACGGGACCCGTTCGCAGGCCCGGTTTCGAGGGTTGAGCTCGCGATCGTGTAGAATTCGGACGATTTTGTGGTGGCCCGTTTTGGCGGAGGGCCCGAAGCCGTGGGTCACGGCCATCGGGTAGCGGACGAGCCCGTTGGGCCTCGGGAGCTCGAAATACTCGCGAGTGAACGGGTTGCAAACGACGAGGGTTTCGTGGCGGTAGTTTATGTCGCGGAGGAAGAGGAAGCCGTTCGACGAGGCGTCGATGACGATGTTGGAGTCAGGGAAGGGGCTGATTCCGGCGAAGCTGATTTTTTCCGCGGTGGTTTTGGGTTTTTTTGGGGAATGGTGGAAATCGAGGAGGTTGAAGTGTTTTTCGAACATGGTGGAGTGGTGTACGATTAGGCAGGGTTTTGATAGGGAGAAATGGAGGGAAATGAAGTAAGGGGTGTTGATGAGTTCCAGCCATGTTTTGCAGACGGATTTGGAGGCGGCGAGGGATTTGGCGGGAAGGCGGGCGAGGATTTCGGCGAGGATGTTCGCCGGGAGGTTCATCAGGAGAAGACGGTTTCTCATTGTGTGTTTGTGTGTGTGTGTGTTTTCTTTCTTGTTTTTGTGAAGATTTTGTATGAGATGGAAGGTTGAAACAGGGGAAAAGTGTGTGTGTGTGTTTTCGGTGTGGTTGGACATGGCAAGTGAGTGAGTTAAATAGGGGAAGGGATAATTTGCAGTTATGGTCCTTTAATTGTGGGAGTCCAACATGATGGTCCTCTCGAAGAGGTTTGTGTAATTTTTTTTTTAATAAACGATAATTATTGTATAATAAATAACTTAAAGCCAATACAAGTTATTAATTTAATATAAATATTATATAAAGTTTAAATTATACAAAATTACATAAAAATATCTATTTAAAATTAGTATACAACCTGTGCGGTGCACATAACTGATAATAAATTAAATTATATTCGTTTCAAAATAAGTATCAATTCAAAATTTTTATTCAGAAAATCGATTTGACTATATGTGATTCCATAAAATAGTTATTTTGGTAAAATTTTATCATATATTTAATAACCTATGTAAATAATAAGTATAAATATAAAATTTATATTGTTTCATTACTTCAAATAATTTATTATTGTATAAACTATTCAAATAAAAAAATTAAGTAATTGAATAATTTATTAAACTATAAATAATTTTACTATTTCGTTTACGTCCAAGTTAATATTGACCCGTAAGTTATGAATAATTATTTTTATTTTAAAATTTAAATAATTTTTTTTATTTTTTTAATATATTATATACCAAATTTAAACCATGGAACTAATAAAAGTAATAGTGACAAGTTTTGTCAATATATTATATTCCAAATTTAAATCATGCAACTAATAAAGGTAATCACCGCAATATCTGACTAAAATGATTATGTACATTAATTTAGCGGGATTTTTCAATTTTTGGCTAAAAATATTACTCGTAAATACTTTAAGCGGGAAACTAAATGTTTTTTTTTTTTTGCTTATTTTGCTTATTTTTAGTTACTATTTCAAGTAAATAACATTGTCTCTTTACATATTAACTAGTGCGTGGCTCGTGCGATGCACAAGAAAATAATATTTTGATTGTATTATAAATTAAATAAATAAATAACATTAATCATGATTTACTCATTATTTTTAAATTAAACCGGGTTGGACACAGTCTGACCGGATGGACCGAGAACCGGTTTATAACCAGTCTAGTGCGCTTGAATAAAATATTTGCTATTGAATCCTTCAACACCAATCTGTTGGACTGGTAGGATCGATACGATTTTCTAAACAAATTTTGTTATATTAAAAATTATTTTAAATAAAATTACATATTTAAATAAAATAGAGATTTATAAATTGTTTATCATATAGTTTAAACATTTGAATTTATAAATTGTTTAGATATTTAAGTAACACTTTTTATTTAAATTAATTACAAAAATACTATATATCATGATTTACAAAATTACATAAGTATTATGTATTAAAATCTGAACAACCACAAATGATTTAATAAAATAACTTGATCATTTCGATGACGGTCCGGTTCTGAAAATCTTATATTTACCGTACATTAATAAAAAAATATAATAAAATAATTATTTCGTTCACATAAATAATAATAAAATGATATATAAATATTTATAAATCATTAATCATGTTGTCATAAAAGTATTGTTAATATGATTATTTGAAGTTTGGACTACATCACATTCACGTAATAAAGTATTTTCAATATTAAAATTTATATTTAGGTTCAGTAATCGATTTGGTCTGGTCAAATTGATACATAACTTAGTTACCTGGGACCACCAACCAAGTTGTTTCAAAGTTTTTGACTATTTTAAATATCACCTAAAAGTAATTCAATCAACGTGGACAGTACCCTAATTCAATCACCCGATTGTACCAAAGTAATTTTCTTTATTTTATTTAAATATAATATTTAATTTTATGAAATAAAAAAATTTTATGATTCATATGCCTACACCAAATGATAATATATTAAAATTATAAATTATATATCTAAAGATGAATTATTTCTTATATTTTATGCATATTAATAAAAAATAAACATAGTAATTTAAAAAAAATTAAGATTAATTGATTGGGTATGCAATTTAAAGAATATTTTTAGCGTTCAATATATATATATATATATATATATATATATGAGTGGTTCAAATAAAAACCTTTTCTGGTGTGAGAACCGTGAGAACCATATTTGATGCTATTTTTAATTGTGTATGATGCTATTTTTATCTTACATGGTGCTATCATTTTTACAAATGCTAAGTTGCTATTTTTATTAAAATACATCCTGATTAAAAATAGCACTAAATACAATCAATCATAGCACTACATACAATTAAAAAAAGCGGTTCTCACGGTTCTCACGCTAGGACTTGATTCTCATTTGAACCACATCATATATATATATATATATATGTAAATGTAAAATAAATAAATTGCTGAAAATAGTATATAATAAATGTGGTTTGACTTTTCTTACTACTATTTATTGTAAATGTTAATTCTTATTATATATATATATATAGATATAAATATAAATATGTATTATTGCTCAAATCCTATAACGGATGTGACTAATGTCACCAAAATATTTGTGTATACAAATTAATTATCTATAATTATCCTAAATTAAATTAAATTACTATTATTATTATTAATTATTTATTTGTTTATTTATTTAAATGTTGTTTTTTAATCAAGAGGTGATGTGATGTATTATACTACGTATGTTTTAAACACGTCTGGCATAACGTGGCAGTTCTTCATGAGATGGTAATTGAAAAATGTAAACCATTGATTTGCCGATTGCCACGTTGAGCTCTTTGCCTTGGTATTGTGAATAGAGATAACTATTTTGTTACATAATAAAAATGTAAACAGTATCATTGCGACTTCGTTCGGCTTGTGATATTTTATATATATTTAATTCAATGTGATGAAAAGCAATTTTATTTGAGTCATAACAAATAATAATTATGTAATTATTCATTTAATAAAAAAATTGAGGAATTTGCTAAAAAGAGTATACTACTAACTAGTACGTAACCCGTGCGATGCACGGGATGTAAAATTTGGAAGAATAATATAACCTCACGTGCATTAGGATCGAAATTGAAATCATTAAAATACATAGGAACATTGTTGAATCATAAAAAGTTCGGTAACAATCATATATTATTAAAAACCTCCTTGTACACAACATTATGAGTTTGATTATTTGGTAACTCCTCATTATCACAAACTAATATTTTCAAAAGAGACAAATCCTAAAAATCAAACTAATATTTTTGGTGAACAAACTAATATTTTAGGATTGGTGAACAAACTAATATTTTAGGATTTTTAGGATTTGTCTCTTTTTGGTGAACAAACTAATATTTTAGGATTGGTTATATGAATAAGGCTACATGTTTTTTGTGTTCTTTTCATTCATTTTCATTCAAACAATCCGATGACTTGTATAATGAAATCCAAATCTTAAGCCGAAATATTTAAAAAAGGAGTTTTTAAAAATTGAAAAGTCAAGGCAATCAGTTCAGATTAATTAAAGGTCAAAGAATATCCGCTCCTTGAAATAAAGACGTGTGCTATCATTAACCAAATATCCGGTTATTGATATAGAGTGGTTACCAAAAAATAGAACGCGATAAGGACGCTTCATGGAAATATCAATGAGATAAGGTCATAACAGATTGCTATACATTTTAACGATAAAAGCTCAGATGGAATAATTTATGATAATTATGTTGTAATTAATGAATTAATTAGATGTGTGAAAATAATATAATTAATGAGAAGTGTGAAAAGGACATAATTAATGAGAGTGTGAAAAGGACATAATTAATGAGAAGTGTGAAAAGGACAAAAACTTACCAGTTTTGGAAAATACTTAATGCAAATCCGACATTGACCATAATTTGACCTACTATTTTGGATAAATGTTAATTCTTATTATATAAGTATAGATAAAAAAATACTTTGTCCTGAAAGTCTCTTACAAGGAATTTTTAAGAATGTTTTATGTTGATGCCAAATTTTTGCTTTAATAAAATCTTTCTACTTTTTTTGAATTTAAAAACCCGTCTTCTCATAAACTTTTTAAAAGTTTTGATTAAGAAAAAGTTATAGTGTTTTGTTTACAAATTAGCTCATCCGCAATTCATATTCAAAATTTAATTCAATTTTAACTTAATTCCACTATTCTTAGTATTATCAATATATTAAATAATATCAATTAATCATCCTTACACACCATATTAAATTTAATTCACTATTCATCCATTAACTAATTTTAACTACCTCTCACTTCAATGACTTCTCTTATATTTTTACATCAAATTATTTTTAATTATTTTATTTTAAATATCATTTTAATACAAACTTAAAATTTTACTAATAACTAATTATATCAAAATTTTAAAATTTATCATGATCAAACAAAAAAACTAATAAAAATTGAGCAGTAATTCTATGGAGCCATCGGATGGTTTTCTTATGGAGCAATCCATAACTTTATGTATTGACACGTGTCTAATGTGTATTTATTGCAGGACACGTGTTGATAACTAAGGATGGCTTCATAAGTCGAGCCATCCGATGACTCCATAGCAAAACCGAAAAATTGAGATATTTGTAAACAAGCACGCCCTAGAGAAACTTAGAACAATGGAAACTAATTTGAATTGGGCAAACAAACAGCAAGCAACCTATATCTTTACATTATTTCCAAAATTTGGATAAATTTGAATACATTTCTAAATATCAGTAATTTAATATATACAGAAAATTTAAATACCAAAATATTTCTGTTTTTTTTAGGTCGAATAAATTTGAATGAACAAATGAGATAACCAAACAATTTTATAAAATTTGTTTACTAAATTATTCCTCGAACTTGACGAACGGACGAGCTCCGAACATAAATTTTTTCACCAATATTAAGTTATTATTAACAGACGAATACGTGGTGGCAAAATGACAAAAAAGTATATTTTTGGGGACCGA